GACGGCGGCGGAGGGCGGAGGCCGGGCTCGACGCTGGGCGCACGCTCTCCATTACAGGCCATTACGGCCTAGCCGGCGTTCGGCGCCCACCCGGCCCGACAGAGCCGTAAACTGCGTCCCTTTCAATATGGAGAGCCGGCGAGGGCGGCCGACCCGCAGTCCGGAGGTCGCCACCACAGCGACCCCTTTGTGGCCGAATTATGCGCCTCGTAGCGGTCGTAAACAAACATTGAAAACGCCCGCTCGGCCGGCGACCCCGGCAAGCGACCTCGCGACCCGGGGCGCCGGTAAGAGCGCCGTCTGGCGTCACGGCGAACGTCATCGCAGCGGCGGCGGGCCGGCGATGACGCGGGGCGCCGGCAGAGGGCGCGGTCCGCGACCCGGCGACCCGCCAGCCGACCCGGCATTCCGGCCGGCGCCGCCGCCCGGTGATGCCCAGCGGCTGTTGTTGACGGCCGGGATGCCGGCTGTGGGTGGCCACGAGCCGGCGTCACCGCCCACGTCACGTGGCCGTCGCCCGGCGGCGGCCGGCGGGCCACGTGACCTGGGCGGAGGCGCACCGGCCGTCTGATTGGGGACGGGAGGCCGATGATTGGGGTCAAGTGACGGCGCCGCGCCTCCGTTCAGCACCTGACCTTAGACAGGGGTCTGGCGCCCTCCATCCGCCTATCAGGGCTGGAGATAGCGGGGCGGGGCAGGGGGTGGGCATGCGAACGGCGGACGCGCGAGCAATGAGCCTGTCGCGGCAACCGCAGATTAATAACGCGCTCCGCGCAAAACATGGGATCACCGTGGCTTTCCCACAAAACAGCAGGGCATTGGGAACAGTTAGAACTCTGATCCAACGAACCATGCACCAGTCCATCATCCGGAACGACATGGAACACGATTGCTTTTACGCGTTGGTATCGATTGCGTAGATCGACAATGTTCCGCGCCTACCCCTACCACCCCGTACCGTGTGTAAGGGGCTAAAAGCATGCTTATCGCGTCGTCAACACCTTTTAGCCAAAGCATTTATATTTTGATCCTGTCACGTTAACAGCATAAAAAAACGTAAGAACGATACAAGTTGTACCCTAAATGGAACATGCTTGTCCCACTCTTACCCGACAATTCTGTCTTTCACCGAATCTGAAAACAAGGGCACATCGGGTTCCTGACGTCAGTCTGGATATGGGTGGGCTGGGACAGACGGGGGTTCAGAACATGACGCCCCCCCCCCCCCCCACCTGCCACCACGCTGACTGGTTCTGACCAGACCGGTCCCTTGGAACAGACGCAGGTCACAAAAAGTGGTCACCCGTCGGGCCGCCGTTGTAGTGGTCCCAGCGGCGGGCCTGGGCCCAGAACCCGGAGGCAACGTACGCAAACCAGGGCGGGCTGGGGATGCCGGCTAGTGGAACGGCCCGAGGCGGGGCTGGGGATGCCGGCTAGTGGAACAGACCGATACAGGGCTGGGGATGCCGGCTAGTGGGACAGACTGAGACAGGGCTGGGGATGCCGGCCAGTGGGACACACCGAGGCGGGGCTGGGGGTGCCGGCTAGTGGGACAGACCGAGGTGGGGCTGGGGGTGCCGGCTAGTGGGACAGACCGAGGCGGGGCTGGGGATTCCAGCTAGTGGCGGCTGGTGGGACAGACCGAGGCGGGGCCAGCGCCCAGCAAAACCCGACCGACCAGATTGCAAACCGGATATCGCGGCGTAGGGTCTGGCGCTGAAGCTGTCGTTCTAGCCGGCCCAGCGTCGTCAGCCTCGGCGCCGTCGGCCGCGCCCGTCTGAGAAACCCGCGACATACGGGGCACGCCGGTCCGATGCGGCGACCAGCCGCGGGCTCCTCCGCACGCGGGCGGGCGCGCGCCGCCGCCGCCGCCGGGCTGGCCTGACAGCGGGATTAGTTTACGGGCGCGAGGTGTCCGCCGTCGCGATTTACCGCCGCCCCCGGCTCAGGGCCGGCCGGCCGGGGGACCGGCGTCAGGGGAACTCCTCGGCCAGCCCGTCCCGCTGGGGAACTACGGCGACGCCCGGTCGGCGTAATCCGGCGGCCTGTGCCCGCGCCAGACCGCCGGCCCGGCCAGCCGCACCTGGCCGGCCACAAAATCTTGGCCAAGCCGGAAGACGCCGGAAGACGCTGCCACCGGCGGCGGCGGCTGCGGTCCGGCGCGCGACCAACCGCGGATAAAACCGCACCGCCGCTGACCGCGCCTGTCGAACGGGACAGGGGCGTCACCGCCTCCGCCGCGCGCATGGGAACGGCGGGAGAGGGCCGTGGCCGCCCGTGACCGCCCGTGACCGCCCGTGACGGTCCGTGACCGCCCGGTCCGCTCGCCGGACTTCCGCGACTGCCCGCCGTCCGCGGCCGGACCGGTTCCGCGCCGCGGTCGCCGCGCCCGGTCGGCCGACGCCGAGATCTCGTCTGCAGCGATGCATCAGACTTCCGGCGACACTGGCGGCTGCAGCGGACGTGCGGCCGCCGGCCGACGCGGCGGTTCGACCAGACGCGCGCGTGCCGCCGCGGACCCGTCCGCGAGATCGCCCGGCACGCGCGCCGACCCGGACGGGACCGCTAGCGCCGAGCGGGTCCCACCGCGGCAACCGGACGACGATCGACGTCGCCCAGGCGGAACAACTGAATTACGTGAATGGTCACGTACCATCCTTCGGCCATTGTCTCTCGCCGGTCGGCCGGGAAAAATGTTTGCCCACGCATTGTGGCGCTGGTGGGCGATCGTTTGATCTTTCCGGGCGGCGCGCTCGGGGCGCTGGAGCTGGCTCGATGAGGCGGCCGATAGGCGGCCACAATGGCGGCGTGCAGGCGCGACCCCTGCGCGCTCCGCTGTGCCGCGGAGCCCGGCTCGGCCCACCAGTGTGGGGACGGCGGTGGGAAAGCTGGCGCTCTCCACCGGGGCACACTGTGTGCCCTGTCATATTGTGTAGACATGTGGGTCCATGTTTATATTCCCAATGAGTGTGCCGGTTTGGGCTCAGCCTCTCACCGGGCGCGGTACATCTCCCTGACGCTGCCGGTGGTCGGGGAGCCGTCTTCACCCCCCTGGCGACGGAGGAAGATTTGCGGGCTCATGACCCGCCTGATGGACATCACGGTTCGCCCGCCCACGGCGCGGGTCGCCGCCGGCCAGGCTGACCGGCCAATCAGGACCTCCGGCCGACCCGGCGGCGTCCGCGTGCGATTGATGAGTGGTCCGATCGCGTCCATCGGGCGCGCGATCGGCGCCGGTCGGCCGCGCCGCTCAGGTGCCGTTAGCTCATCAGTGTGTGACTCCGCGTCCGACGGCCGCGCACGGCTCGGCCCGACCGGAACCCGCCGCAGCCGCCAAAAAAGCGCGCGCCCGCGCCGAGCCCAACCGCAGCGCGCGCCGAGCCGGCCGGCCGCCGGGAAACAGGTGGCGCCGGGACCCGTCCGAGAAAGGAAAACATCGGCGGCGGCGGCGGCTCCGCCGACCCGGACGGACGTCTGATTGGCTGTCGTTGGCGCCAACCCTTCTACGAGCCGGTGGCGTGACGCTGCGGCGCATCCGGCGCGATTGTGGCGCGCGATACCCCGCCCGCTACTGTCCGCTCTCGCGCCGCGCTGTGGCAAAACAGGGGCGGCGGCGGCGGTCCTGGCCCAAATGACACCGCCGGGGCGGAGCGAGGGGCCCTCAGTCGCCGGGTGGCTACCCGGACAAGGCAGGCCCTCGCCTAGCATCCGGGCGGAGGGACGAGCACGCTGACCGTCCGTTGCCGTCTGTAACGCGCCGGAGATGTGGCAGCCCGAGCACCGACATTCGTGACATGCCCGGCCCACGGCATCCAGGCTAAGCTGGCGGCCGTCAGCTGATCGGTGGCTCCCGGCGGTCAGCCGCGCGCCTCCGGAGGCGGGTCACGGCCAGCCCCCACCCGTCCGGCGCGGGCTGACGCGGAGCAGGAGGCCAAAGACGGACGGGTGACGGACGCGAGAGACGGCTGACAGACGCTGGACAGTGACAAACGGTGGACGGGTGATGGACACGATGGGCGGGTGACACTGGACTGGGGAAAACGGTGAACGAAAAACCGGCTGGAGCTGACATTGAATAGTTAACTGAGACTGGACGCTGCTGAAGGAGGGTGGGACGACCAATAACGCCGGATTTTGCACGCCGCCGGCCGCATGACCCAGTTGTGACGGCGAGCGTGCCTGACCTGACCCCGACACACCTCCCACCACGTGACCCCGCCCGCCTGGCCGTCTGGCCGCCCCTCAATAGGTGTGACTGCGCTGCGCCCGCCGGTGAGCCGGTGCCAGCTGGAACGCCCGCAGGCCCAGCTGGTCAGGCCGGCCGCACCAGCTGGGCGGCCGGCGCGGCGGGAGAGCCACCGCTTCCGACCGGTGCGGCGAGGCGAGGCGCGTCCGGCGGACTTCCGAGCGCGGCGAGCAGACGGCGGCCACAGCCGCAGCCCCCCCCCCCCCTCTCCCTAACCTCCCGCAGCCTCAGGACGCCGTGAGTCAGTGAGCGCGTGCAGCCGGGAGCACGCCTCTTGGGAAGGCGGGGTCGCGGCTGTTGGGCGCGAGGGGCGCCGCCGGCTGCGGTGGCCCCTCGGCCGGCCCCCACCTGGCGTCACAGCGGGAGCGTCTGGAGACGCACTCGGCTCGCCCCCGGCTGTGGTGGAGGGGGCTGAGGGGGCGCAGGTACCGAGGGGACAGGGGGACACGGACCGGGCGTTTGGGGACAGCCCGGGCACAGATTGACGGCACGTGCCCGGCCGAGCTATTTCGGGAGGCGCGAGCGGCGGAGGGGGACGCTATCACCGCCACCATCGCCGACCTTCCGCACGCCGCTGGCCGACGGGCGGCCTGTCGCGGCGGAGGCGGCGGTCGCCGACCCGACGTGACCCTGGCGGTGGCGCGGCGCACACAGCTCCGTGTGGTGACGGCCGGCCGCCGGCAAACACAAACCCGGCGTCGAGCGTTGGTCGGAGCGCCGGATCGCTCAGTGTTGCGGCCGACAGACCCGATGTGTATCGGTGACGGATGAGCTCGGGCCGGCTTTCCCGCGGCCGGCCGACGGGTCTTGTTAGCCGACGCCGGCTATCGCGGCTGCACTCGGCCAGGCGTCGCAGCCGGCAGCCAGCGGACGCGCAGCCTTTAAGCAGAGCAAAGGCTGGAAGCTGTTTACGAGCAGCGCTTTGTTCTGTGCTGTTGGCAAGAAAGGGCTATCTGGGTGCCAAAGAGAGGATCTAGCTTTCACACGCACGTTAGCTCACGCTGTATGGCGAGAAAGCGTTCCATTTGATATGGAGCTGGCCGCCCCGACACCTCCGCTTTTGTTTGCGGTGCTTTCCCGGCAGTAAGTCACGTGCGTTAGTTACTCCAAGCACCGAGCAACAATTACCACTCACTTCCGTGTTACGACCTACTACAGCCCGTGACAAAATAAGCCTCCATCGTCTTGTGGTAAACACGCCGCCTTCCGAGAAAGCCACGTTTTTGCCCCGATTCGGTTGAGATACGCCACCCGTCTCAGAGTTTTTCTCCCAATCTGCCTCGCCATGCATTAATCGTTAAACGCACACGCCGCTGCGCCCCCACCTACCCATCCCGTCGCAGGGGAGGCAGCTGGCGACCAGTCTTTTGGCAGGACGCGCCGGCCAGCCAGTCTGTCGCCGAACTTTATGGCCCGGCCGCACTAATCCCGTGCGAGCCTCGATCGCCTGACGACTTCCTATGGGCGCCTCCTAACGGGCTCACCTTTGTCCAGGGGCCAGCTGGACCCTATTTCCACCTGCCATTGTGCCCAGCCCCCTTCCCATTTCGGAGCCATTTTCTTGGAAGACAGTAACAGCGGGCGACCGGGCCATTCTCACCAGGTCGCGCCGTGCGCTATTGTGGCGCCCTCTGCGGTTAATCCGCGCCCTCCCCTCGGCGTCCGCGTGGCGGTCATGGCGGCCCCGATAATCATATACGGGGACCGGCTATCGCCGCCGCCGGACTTGCAAAGCGCACACACCGAGGCAAAAACACGTCCCGGTCCAGCAAACAGCGCCGGTGCCGGCGCGACGGTCAGCCCACCCCGGACGGAGCGAGCCGGCGACGGGGTGAGAGCGCCGCCAGAGGACAACACCGGCACCGGCAGCCTCCGCCGCCGACCGCCAATCAATTAGCCGCAAGCGGAGGCGGCTTTGTGCGCGGGGCACGCCTCCGCCAGGCGAGGCGTCCGCCGCACTTTCCCCGGCCGCGCCGCCCGACGACCGGGCGCGGGCTGGTGCGGCGGCGGTCTGTACGCTCCGCCGCCGCCGCGCCGATCCTCCGGTGAGATGGACGGCCCGGGCCCGCGCAGGGGCGGCGACGCTGCAGCGGCGAACGCGGCACCGCCGCCGCGCGCCGCTGAAATATGACGCGCCGCGATCGTTAGGCTGACCCGCCATTAATCAGTGCTTCGGGCCGGTGCAGGACACGCCACCCGCTCCCACCGGCTTCCTGTGCAGCGCCGGGTTCGCGAGGGTCAATTACAGCTGTCGACCCGTTCACAGGTGCTCGGCGCGGGCTTTAAATCGGCGCCGTCACCGCCACCTCCGGCCGGCCGGCAGGTGTTGGCGTCCACTCGGCGTCGCAGTCTCCCCTCTCACGTCCCGCGGCACAGCCGGCCCCCACAGGCGGCGCCGGGGCCCGTCCCCCCAGGCGAGGCTTGGGCGCTCGGCGCCGTCGACGAACGACGCGTCGCCGGAGCCGACCCCGATCGTCGGTCAAACACCAACGATGGCCGGCGGACAGCCGGTGTTTGCTCAGCTAATGGGGTCATCTAGGGCTGTGGGCGGCCGGCGGCGACCGGTCAACGACGAACACGTTGGTGGTGACCGTCTCCTAGCGGCCGACCTGGGCCACCCAAGCCGCACGGGTCGCGTGGTGCACCGGCGGTCATGGTCGGGCTGGTGTGCTGCCTCCGACCCGCTCTCTCCGTGCTGTGACGTCACCGGTGCATGACGTCACTGGCCGGTCGCGGGTGGCGGACCGTGGTGACGGTTGTGGAGCGTGACGTAAGCTGGGCTGTACAACAGAGCGGCGCCATGCTAAGCCCCTGCTGTGCTTCCGGCGAGGGCCTAAGTAATTCTGCGTGCCAAAATCATCCAATAATCTGGAAATAATCTAAAGGGAGCATGATGAGCCAATAAAGGGAAACCCGCGCCGGAGCTTTGGACGTTAAGGGAAAATGACCTGGTTTGATCAAAATCCAAGTCAGAGACAAAATAGATACGAACGGGAGGAAAGCTGACAGGTAAAAGTGAGCGAGTGAAGAAGCCACGCTGCCTGCACGAGTGAACACCACGGTCCGGCGGCGGCGCGTCTCGAGCCCCGGACGCAGCTGCCTCCTCCAGCTCCAGCTGCTGCCGCGGTCGCTCCAGCCGGCGGCGGCACGTGCCTGTACGGCGTGGGAACTCACCGAGCGAGACTCGCCGCAGCGGTGTCAGGTCGTCCTGCCAGGCGATCGCGGGCCGGGCCAGGGCCAGGGCCAGGGCCAGCAGGGCGGCCAGCGCGCCGGCCGGGGTCATGGCGAGGTCACGGCGCTCCGGGGCGGCCGCGCTCAGCCGGACAGCATCTGAGGACGGGCGCAGCGTCAGCGGGACGACCAGACGACAGCGACATAGCAGCAGGCAGCGGGCACGGTCCGGCGCCGGCAGCTTCCAGCAGTCGCGCGGGAGCTGTCGCGCGGGCCGCATCATGGACCTCGGCGGCGGAACAGTCATACTGTACCTTGACCTCGACAGTGTGCGGACTGAGATCGCCTCGGGCGTCGCGGTCGCGCCGCCGCTCGCTTCAATTATCAACACTTGGCTAGCCAGGCTCACGGTCAGAGAAAAACGGTGTAATTTAAACCCCACATTGGTCTGTACGCGTGTGTGTGTGTGTGTGTGTGCCGCGTGTGTGTGCAGCATGTGTGTACCGGCGTAACCTGCGGCCCCTTCTAAATGGCCGTGAATGCCTGGCAAAGGTCAGCACGACGCTTAATTCAATTAACTAGATTAAACGCCCAGGCGAGGAGTAGGCTGGCCAGATATTGGAAAGCGCGCCGGCCGAGGGGCACGTTATCCTTGTGCCAGTTTCTGCACGGAGCCATACCCGGCAATTACTGCCCACTCATTCCCCCAATTAATCAGACAAGTCCGGCGTCGCCTGTCCACTATGAAAGCCTCGTGACGCAAGTCGTGCCCTCTCGGACGCCGGCGAAAGCCCGTCCCCGCTCCTCTCTCGTGACACCAGCGGCTGAATGCAGCGCCAAGGCCTCGGCACGGCTGCCGGCTTTACGGCCAGTAAAACACTCATCAAATGGCCATTCAGGCACTGATTCGACGACTATTGCTGCTCCGCAGCGGGGAGCGGCTGGATGGCCAGGCTGGGGACGGTCGGCCGACGGAGCTGAAGACGACGGTCAGCCGCCTGGCGTCAGCGAGTACTCCCCAGTCACCCCGCGCCGGCAGGACCGGAGCTGATGTGACATGGGGGGGGGGGGGGCGACTCAGGGCGGCGACAGTCTCGGTAAATAAAGACAAATAAGATGCTGAGAATCAGAATGTTTTTTTCAGATTACGGGTCGTGATCACCGTGTCCAGTGATACTTTCAGACATTTCATGCTTGTAAAATCTTTGATGTTCCACCTCTTTTTGTTTTTCTCGGTTTCCCACCGACATTCTTCGCTTCTGGTCGACCCAAATCCCCATACCAACAAACCCAGTTATCGGTCAAGGCGGAGTGGAGTGGACAGAACCCATTTCGCTCGGCAATGGCTTGGCAGGTAGCGTCGTACGGCGTCACTTCGCGTTACCCCGTGGCACCAGCCTCGACCTCAGCCCGTCCGTCCGCGCCGGCGCCGTAACGGTGCTGTGGTGCGGCGGGGGCGGCGTCATCCATTCCCAGGGGCCGGGAGCCGCGCTTGCCGGGCCCGTCATCGGCGGGCGGCTCGCCGTGAGAGCGCGCCGCATCAGATAAGCCGGACGGGCCGGATGAATCACAGCCCACCGGCCCGACACTCCGTCCGCCGTCCCAGCCAGTGACAGCGTGCGATTAGCCGGCCGGCGTCCACACACCCTGCAATCCAGGGTGCTGCCGGCGACGCCCGCGCTCGGCTCAAGACGGCGCGTCACCGCCGCCGCCGGCGGGCGCCGCCGACCACCCGCCTCGACCCTGTGCGGCTGGCGGACGGGCCGACAGCGAAGCGCAACAAGCGCCGCCGGCTGTTCAGGAGCGCACCCCGTCCGGCGCCGGCGCCCGTCGGCCGGCGGCGTTTCCGGGTCAGCGACGAGTCACGCCGCCAGGTCACGGCATCGGCGAGACAGCGAGGACGGATCGCGGTCCGGAACCGAGGCTGGTCATCACGCGGTGGGCCAGCACGGCCGGGTGGCGGCTGACCCACTTCGAGCGGTGGTCACCGGGCCGACTAATGACACCGGACCCGCCGTCGGCCGGCGGCGGAGGCCAGCACGCCGCCCCGCGCTGTCGCGTTCCGGGCCGGGGCCGCCGCTCCGGCGCAGGACCCTGACCCGCCGACGGTACCCGGTGGGCATCGACAGGTGGTGGACTGCCGTAATTTGATCAGTCACTCACCCTGACCTCCGCTGGCCACAATGGGAGAGACGCAATCAGCCCCGTAGAAACCGGCGGGAGGGCCGCTTCCAGAGACATCAAAGACGCTGTTCCGCCCCGGGGACTTCGGTGACCCCCACTGACGTCAGGGACCACCGACCCTGAGTAACGTCAAGCACCGCCGAACCTCGCGCCACGCCATGGACCGCAGTGGGTCCGTGCCGCCGCAGGACCAACTGCCGTTCATCACCGGTGGTCCGGAACGGTAAATCAATCAGGTGTCGTTGGTGGAGCGTCCAACGCCGGCCCGATGCCTTCCGGTGGCGCGGCCCACTGGAAACGTCCGGTGGAGATGTCCAGGCGGAACTGACGGTGGGAAGTCTGGCGGAGATGCCCGGCTGAGCCGCGCGGCACGACGGATCAGCGAGGCTGGCCGACAGTGGCTGCTCGTGGCTGGCCGACAGTGACTGCCCATGGCTGGCCGACGGTGGCTGTCCGTTACTGGCCGACAGTGGCTGCCCGTGGCTGGCCGACAGTGGCTGTCCGTGGCTGGCCGACAGTGGCCGCCCGTGGCTGGCCGACAGTGGCTGCCTGTGGCCGGCCGGGATGTCGCCGGGTGACGGCGGCGCTCACTAGAGCAGAGGCAGCCAGCTACCAGAGCGCTCGACATCTCGGGCGACAGCTGAGTCGCCCTCGCCGGCACCAGGCCTCCCTCGCACACGGCAGCAGGATGACGTCAGGCTGTCCAGCGCCAATCAAAAGCCCTCCCGTGGCTCGAATCCCCCAAAGCCGGCACACACGACCGACAGCGGCCGAGAAGATCGGCAGGTGCACGCATCAATGCGGCCTGCCGACCCGCCCCATGCCGACCACAATGGCCGAATTATGCGCGCGCCGCTGCAAAAACGGCCCCAGAGCCGGGTCGGGCCTTTGTGCTCGCGGAAGGTTCATTTGTCGCTGGCGGCCGTGATTGCGCTCAAGGAGAGCCGGCAGACAAAACACGCATCGACAGTAGCGACCATTTCGGATCCATCAACGCCCGACAGCGACAGTCCGTCAATTTACCGGGGCGAGCGTCCGTCAATGGGCAGGAAAAAGCGTCCGCCAACTGACAGAAACGAGCATCTGCTAACTGGCGGAAAGAAGGGTCAGTCAGCTAGCGGCGACGAGCACCCGATGATGGCCGCGGTCGAGCGAACGCCTTTGAACAGTGAACAACCAAACATCGGATGCAGAAATGCCGTAACGGAACGTTGGAACAGAGGCGACCTCCGTCAAGGCACATGCCATGGAGTATTCCGAGGCCACGGGTACCAAATCCGCCTTGAAGCGATGAACAAAGCCGGCCTCAGTCCACCGCGTGTTGACAGCATTTTTGGACGAGCGTCGCACGCGCTGCACGAGTCTGCAACCGGGCCCGTCGGCGGCTCGCCGGCCAGCAGGGCCACGCACGCAGCAGCAGCCGATCGCCTGTTAAATTTCCCCATATTCGGCGCCGTTGGCCGCGCTCCGTCCATTATTTTCGCCACACCTGACAGCTAATGGCGGCGGTCGCCTCGGCCGGCCTGCCTGAATTCCATGGCGGTCGGCCGGGCCGCGAGTAATGCATCGCAGCGCGGTCCGGCCGCCGGCGGCGACTTTGTTCCCCGCGCCGGCGGACCAACGTCAATCGGTCAACAATAGCCGACATCAAGGCCGACACGCCGGCCGCTAATGGCGCGCAGGAGGCGACGCTCCCAACCTTTGACCTGCGACGCCGGCTGGCCTGCCGCGGCCGACAGGCCCCATTCGATTAAATGCCGCGTGGAATTAGTACCCAAACACGGCGCCAGACGCCGTGTTGACTCGAGTGCACCCTGCCATGGTCCGAAGGTATTGGGTGACGATGGAAGTGCCCTTCCAGGTAGTACGGAGGGAAAACGACGGTGCCGCAGTGGGACAGACCGCAGGCAGGGGGCGACGTCATAAGGTGACCATCCCAACTGGGGCGCTGAATCGACTCGCATTCAACGCCACCCGGCTGGAAGCGTGGCCGATTGGAAAGTGCTGCCGCTCCCATCCATTGACACGCATTTAACGGGGCTTTTTTCTGACGGGCACGCGGTTCATCCCAGACGAGCCTCGTCATCCTCGCCCTCTCACGAGCGCACCCGCGTTTCGTAACAAAACGCCGGCGTGAATCATCGCCATTCGGGCTGCTGGTGGAAGGTATGCACATTCATACACCGTCCGATGACAATCCAGCGCCAGATAAATCACGGGCTTCCGGCCCTCGGTGCCGGATGCAAGCTGCTTCCGGTGGCGGGTCAGCGCGGTGCCAGGTCACGCGGTGGGAACCGGGCCGCGCGGGGCTTCATTACGGCCTCCGTCTCTGTGTGCGTGCGCGGGCAGCTGAACGTTCGCTCGTCTGCCGGGCGCCTCGCGGTCCACTTCATTGACCTGATTGGCTTTGACGTGGCGTGCCGCCGTGCGTCGCGGCTGAGCCGCTGCCGCGCTCAGTGAGTCGTCAGTGGATGGCGTGACCCGCCCAGGGAGCGGGGCTCACGATCTGCCGATCACGCCCGCTGGACGCGCAGAGCCCGCGCTGGCGGCCAGGCAGCAGCCGGCGCGCGTGTCGTGACCGCTGGCACCCCGCCCCGTCACAGTAGGCACAGCAACGCTGGGCGACGCAACGCGTCACGTCACGGCAGAGCTCAGCACAGCTCAGCCCCTACAGTCCACAGCTCAGCCCCTACAGTCCACTACGGTCCACCGCTGCGCCACGTCACAGGAGCACGGCCCAGCTCCTGCAGCCACGGGCCACACCGCACGGTCACATCACGTGACAGGACCACAGCTGTGACCCTGCAGTCCTCACAGCACCGCCGCGTCACGTAACAGGACCACAGCTGTGCCCCTGCAGTCCTCACAGCACAGCCGCGTCACATGACGCGTCCACAGCGTCAGCTGCAGTCGTCACCCACGCAGTGGCGACGGCCGACACACCACACCGTGCCGTG